GGATGTTTCTCCCCAGCTGGTAAACTGGGCTGGTCCGTATTGTGGTTGCTTTTCGGTGCGGCTTAAAGCTTTACTCGGTTTTGTCTTAAATCGCGTTGGCTCCATTTCCTCCGTCTCAGAGTCCCAGCCAGCTTCCGTCAGCCCTTCCGAGCTGGCGGAGCTGCTGCTGGACTCCGAGTCGGAAGTTGAGTGCCAGCGCATTTCCGGGGCTCTGTGCCTTTTTGTCTGGCTCCGAGCTCGCTCCTCCCCGTGGGGGTGGCACTGCTCCTGCCCCCCAGGCTTGCCCTGCCTCCTGCAGGGGAAGGTCTCTCCCTTAAATGGTAGCGTCATCAGGCATGGCTGCCGATTCGCTCCGTGCCCTCTGCCGCTCTCTTCTTCTTTCTCCCGCACACGCGCATTCCTAAAACTGCACGCCTCCCGGCTTTTCGCGCCGAGACCGCCTGCGCCCTGCCCCTCTCCTTGGATGCCAGTGCCATTTTCAAAGGAGTAGGGTGGCGGCGTTGTTAGGATCTCCTCCCAAGCTGCGGTTTCTGCGTCTCTGGCTTCCCTCGCCAGCCCCTGCCAAAAGCATTTCGCATGCTGCTGCACCTCCGGAAACGGGACACTGACCGGCGGCAGCGATACGGATGGGGAAGCCGCGGATTTCTGGGAGGTTTCCGCGGCAGGGATTGGGCTCTTTCCCGGGGAGGGGGGTGATGCGCCGGGCCCCCCTGGATCCCCGCTCCCGGGCGGATCGCCCTCAGGGGCAGTTTGCGTTCCCGCTCCTACCCCTAGCTTGGGTGTAACCAATAAACATGTACGCGCTGCGCTCCATGTCTCCTGCTCTTCTATTGCTTTGTGCAGGGCTTTCTCTACTTTGCCCCACACCTTAAGGCTTCTGCCACTGCCTGAAGATTTCGTGTCCTCGGCCAGCGTGGCTGTGCATTTTTCCCATATTTCCGGATGCAGAACATCCACGGGGCGTTCAATTGCCCCAGGCTCAAGCAGCCTTGCTATAGCAAGATAAAAGTCTTTGAGCTTACACTCGATACCCCATTGCTTCTGAATCGCACTTACGACCCTGGCGATGGTGTCCATGACGATCGCACGTCCTGGGACGTCTCCCTCACCTAGATACGGTTTGACCGCTCCGGCCGCTGCCCTTGTCCAAGTGATTCCCGCTACCCGAGCGAATTTCTCTTCCCGGGTTTCGGCACCAGATATGTTGTATTCAGGGGAGGCAAAGGCGACCTGGTTTGCAAGAAGCAGCACGGCAGCCCGGCCTAGTCCGAGCTCCTCGGGCTAACGACACACGCTAACACCAACGTGGTGGACGGTCGAAAGCATTTATTATATTATCTCATTGGTTTAAATAGTCTTGGGGGACTTTGCTACGTCAGGGGGGGTTGGTAGGGTCTCTAGGGTTAGTCAGGAGTGGAAAATTACTGGGTTAGGTGTGGTTACATGTTCTGGGGGTGATAGATAACGTGTTACAGGGTGAAGGGGGGAAGGGTCTTTCTTTCCGTCACATCCCGGGATCTTCCGTTCGCCTGTCCCTATCTACTACAGAACCCACTCCACCAATTTTTAGGCATTTCACAAACAGCATACAAGCAAAGCTAAGGGAAAATCCTTTAGTTTATATCAGAAACCCAGAGTCAGGACAGATTGAAAATCCATTTACATTAATAACTTGGGGCGAGGGTTTCGCTTGTGTTTCTATAGGACGCGGACTGAAGTGAATGCCAGCAAGGCACATGAAACCTTATCGGGTGCAGATGCCAGTGGACGTGGACCCAAAAAGCAGAGAGGCAAGCGTACCGACGGAGGCAGACAGCAATGCTGCAGACGTCTTGCCGGACAACGAGTGATCATCCAGAGACTTGGATTTTTTTCTGGGAAATCAAGTGTTGTTTGTGTGGTGCTGCATTGTGGGATTTCTCACAGAGGGTGGGGACATGGACATGGGGTTCAGACAGATAGTGTTCATGTGCTTCATTCTTTCACCTGTTGCCTTGGGCAATGGGACAGACTTTCCCACGAGACAACCAAGGGAAAATGTGCGGGAGACTTTGGTAAAAGCAGCGTGTCTGGACAGCATTTGCCTGACCCATTCAAAACCAGAGAAACCATTTTCAACATACTTGGTAGGTGTGCCAGTGGAGGAATGGTCAGTCCCAGGGGACATCCTTCCAAGGGCTCTGAAGTCTTTTTCGGATTCTGTGGAAGGATGGCGTGTTTGGACCCAGTTTTTCCCGTGGCTCACTTTGAACCTCTGGATTTGGACATTTTGGGTCAACAAAAATGAAATTCTGTATCAAATTCAATCCATTCGGAGTGACAGAGACAGATAATCACATGATAAATGTCACTCCGAACCAGCTCTTTTATAGAAATGCATCATCCTGGTGTAATTACACCAAAATGATGAGCAAACCACCCCTTCAAAAATCCAACCATTCTACTAAAAGGGATGTTTTTGAATTTGCGGGGACAGAATTTGGCCTGCTATCCCTGCAAAAATCAAGGGTGGTCCATGCAGCATTGAAAGATCTTTTGTTAACACACAGCATGACCTGGATAAGAGAGCAAGGAGGAAAAAATCTAATGAATGAAGTGAACCAGATTGTGACAATGTGTCGTGGTTTGACATGGAAAAAGAATTTTTCCGGAAGGAAGAGGTCAATTTGGACATTGACCAATTGAATGTGGACCTGCCTCTGAGAACACAGAGGGGTTAAAAACAGAATTCCCAGGAGAACTCGCTCTTTTTGGTTCTGGTCAGTGTGCAGTGCAGGAATTTCCCCTGCCCGGCCCGTGGCTGGGTGGGGGAGGGGAAGGCCCATGGCCTGACTGAGGTAGGCCGAAGGGTGGAAGGGACTGGAACTTCCCTGCAGATGGAAGGGTGGAGAAATCTGTTATGTCTCCGTTCCCCCCGCCAGAGTCTCTCTGTCTCAAGAGAGAGAAAGAGACAGCAGCAGTTCTGTCAGCAGTTCACCGCGGGGAAGGAGAAGAGGCGGGGGGGGGGGTGGTGAGGGTGCCCAGCCGCCTGTGGGAGCCGGAGTCTGGGCAGAAAGCCATCTTTGGGAGTCGGGACTTTTAACCCTTCTTTGAGAAATGAAAGCTTTGTGAAATTTTTCTCCTCCTCAGTTTGAAAGAGAGGAAGAGAGACAGCTTGGACGCTGGGATGTTAGAAGGAGAAACTCTAGGTGGGAGGAGATGATGGAGTGGCTTTTGGCTGGACTTTTTCTTGGTAGCCACAGACAAGCAATTTCGCCTCCAAGAGAGACTGTATTTTAGGAGGATGCCGGTGAGCCAAAGAGACCTGCTTCAGCTGGGAAAAGACAGAAGTGGAGCGAACAGAGAAAAGTTAGGGAGGTTTGTGGTGGTGGCCCCTGTCTTCAGAGAGGAAGAAGAGAAGAAGATCTCTGTTCATAGATCCTCGGCCCCAGGGGAAAATGGGGGGGGACTGTGGTCCCAAAAATGAAAAACTGAACTGTTGTTTTTTCCCCTCTTGGCAGGGCATCCTTGAAAGGAAAAAAATCCTAAAAGCAGTCTGTCCATCCATGCATTGGTGGTGAGAGCACTGTGCATGGAAAGGAGAGGGTCACCATTGGCAAACTTTTTTCTCCGGGCGGTGCCATGTGGTGACATGGAAGCACAGGATGTGGCAGCTGTGTTTCTCGGGGGGTCTGTGGCACAGGAGGGGCTCTTCTCTCCCTCGATGGACTGAGAATCAATTGTCTGGAGGGTGGAAACCTGATTTGGGTCCAGGTTGTGTCTCACTGTGGTTTGTTGGAGGTGGGTGGCGGGAGGAGGAATGCTTTGGAAGGTTTTAATTTTGATTTTTTTGTGTGTGTGGTTTTTTTTTTTCCTTGCTTTTTCCCCTTTTGTAGTAGTATAGTAGTAGTAGTTTAATAAAGTTTTTTTCTTGTTATTAAGCTTGGGCCTGCTTTGCTCTGTTCTCGATTGCATTTCACAGCATTCAATTGAGAGATTGCATTTTCATGGGGGCACTGGCATTGTGCCAGTGTCAAACCATGACACAATGATAATGCTAACACCAAGAAAAAAAGCTCGGATAAACTGAATGGTTCTACTTTCACAGCAGGTGGCGTCAAAATGAGCCTTGGTACAGTTGGATCAAAAGAGGTTGTGGGCAGAGTAAAGATGCCCATGCTGTTTCTTTTGCATTGAATGATCTGTTAGCTAGCAATGGGAAATGAGAACAAAGCAGCAATTGAACATCTATTGTGAACACATGGACCCAAGAGTGATAAATTTGAAGAGGTATCATAAGAGAAAACCCACCTGGAGAAAAATTAAATCTTAGATGGATGGTGTGCTCAATTTGTTTTACCTTTCACAGTCGTAGAAAGAGATTTTGAAAATAGTTGTATGTAATTATAGGGTATTGTAATTCTTCTGATGCTTGTGTTGTGCTTGCCTCAGTGCATGAGGCAGACCATGGACAAAGTTGTCAAAGAAGTCTTCTTGGTTCAAAAAGGAGAGGGAGATGTGGGAATCCAGGGCTTCCCTCTGTCTGCCCTTGAGGGCCTGGGACCCCGGCAGGGGGTCAGGAACCCCCCTGTGCAGAGCCCCAAGAGACACTGTCTCTGATCTCTGTCCATGGAAATAAGTTTTCAATATTATAGGATGAATTACAAGCTCTGAGTGTTTGATATGAGTAATAATTAAGTTTGGCATGGGTGCAAAAGTAAAATTATAGGTTTCTAGATTAAGGGTTCAGAGGGGACAAGATGGAGGAAATTGGGTGTGTCTTGTCCTTTTTCTCCTTCTTCATGCCCTCCATGTTTCACTGTAGTGTTGGCATGTTTCTATTGGTTTAGGCTGGGGACACACTGTTCAACATAGATGATAGATATTGGCACATTATTGTAAATATAGCACACGTAGTTTCTGGTATATAATGTTTGTAACATCCCACTGGGGGCAGAGCCCCGCACACTGCCCTGCAGGACAGACCTGCGGCAGGGCAGCAGAACGTGTTATAGATAAGCAAGAATAAACAACCTTGAAAACAGCACAGACGAATTATGGCTTCTTCTTTGGCAACGGGGCAGAAAGACAGAGACTTTCTACAATCTTGGAATCATCAATACCCACAGATTCCAACAATTTTCCAATCTATGATGAATGCTAAACAAGATGAGGGCTATTCCTTGACATGTCACACTAGTGAGAAATTTAAATTACCCCTTAGTGAGTTCCAAGTTCAATGTATCCACACAGAGGGTGAAACACTCCTGTGCCACAGACATAAACATGGGTCCAGTTGTACGGCTGAAGAACACGGATAAAATTGGCACAATCTGTCTGTTGGAAAAAGAAAGATAAAGGTTAATTTTCATGTTTATTCTTTTTTTCCACGTTATACATTCTACTAAATTATAGCCATAGCACTGGTGTACTTTAATGTAGCAGGGACTGTTTACGAAGCAGTTCAAAGCTGTGACAACTACAATTTGATAGCAGCTATCTTCCAGGCAGTTCATCAATCAGACATGCAAACCTAATTCTGCTGTAATGCTTACAGCCACAAGAAGCTGTGTGCTCACAGCACAGTTTGGAGGGTATCAGTTCAGCCTGTGTCCTGGCAAAACAACACCTGCCAACAACTGGGCAGAGGTCGCAGAGCCACTGGGTTTGTCTGGCTACCAATCCTCCTGCCTTTGCTTCCCAGCTCAGGGTGCTTTAACACCAAAAATTACATGATTAAAGTAACTGTGGTGCGCTGAAAGGCTTCAACGCACTTCAGTGGGTATGCTTTGTCTCTGCACAAGCCACATCTTACTGGTGACTTTAATTTGGTTATTTCTGAGTCCAATGAGCTGTCCTGGCTCTAGCTGGGCTTGGTCCTTGCTGGGCAGATGCTGTGTGCTCCAAGGATGATACATGGGCTGGAGGACAAGGCTTGCTCTAGCTTTCCCCAAAATGAAATTAATACAGAAAAACAAAACAAGTATTTTGAGGGAATACAAAGAATCTGTTCATACTTTCTAGACATCACCCTACACCTAAGTGAGAGTCCAAAACAAATATTTCCCTCCCAGGACCCTTTCAATCTTCTTTTAGTATAGAAACAGAACAAATCTTCCATATACACCACTATAAGAAAATTTCCTGTGCTCAGCAAAGGTGTTGTTTAGGTTTTGACTGCTGTAAAGACAATGGTAGCAACAAGTTAGAATAAGAAGTTGAAATTCTTCCGGCAGAGAGCTGAGAGTGTTTTGAGCTGCAATCTACCTTGGTAACTGACATGCTGGATAGAAATTAGGACATTTTTCTGAGACAAAATGAAAAAAAATTATTTTACAGCCAGAAAATGTTTACATTCATAGTGGGCTCTAGACACATGATGTAATCTGTGGTAAGCAATACATATAAAAGTTGTATTGTATACACGTATGTACCTTAAATATACTTCCTAAAGAAAATTTGTGGTTCCACAAAAAAGCCATTGAGTCCGAAATTTTCTTTTAACCCTAACTCAAGCAGTCTGCAAGTTAAGTTGATTTGTACACTGCTCTACTACTCTGTTTCTTTAATGAATTATAATGAAGTTACATTCAGGACACTCCCAAGAAAAAAAGAAGCATTTTAATGTGAAAAGAGAGGATTTCATTGAAGTATTGCCTGGTATACATTTCTGAGGTAAGTCCATTTGTCTCCCAGCTGCATTTATTACATCAAAGGAAATATTGATGCAATATTGAATTTTAAAAAATATTAATATTTAAGAAACAATAGAAATGTAATTTTTTAAATTAAGAAAAAACACTTAGTTCAGAAGAAGTGTAACAAGACCTTACTAATGCATTTTGTGCATTTACTAACAAACACACAGATATTAATAAATCTCAGCAAGATTAAAAAATATACATCATACTTACCTGGGCATCTTTCCCAGCTAATTTGCATAATTCTACCTTTTCTTTTGCTGCAGGCCAGTAAATCTGTAACATAGTTAAAAGAAAACAAAGATTCTGAAGATTATAACCTGTCCTGTGACTGACAGATTAATTAGTCCATGAATAAACAGTTAAAACAGATTTATGGAGGTGAAAAACCTTGCCTGTAAATTGAAATGAAAATTACTTCAAATACAAGATTCCATGACAAAAAGTTACAAGGTTTCAAATCAATGCCACAGATCTTTGTTTATTTCTTCATTGGCTACATGTACTTTTAAAAAGCATTCAGTTAATCTGGCCAGGGCACCTTGTCACTATTATGTGTTTTCTTCAAAGTTATGATGAGCCAAATCATCTGGAAACTAAACTGATTGCAAAGCCAGGCAAATTATATTTGTGAAGAATTTAGGCCAGTGGACTTGGCATAACTGTTATAAAAAAATACTTAGCTCTTTCTGCCAATTTTCAAATGAAAATAATTAGGTTAAAAAAACTAAGGGTAGCTCAAGGGAAATTAGTAGAACAAAAAGTACATTTGACAGAAATCAACAGTGCGTGGTTTAAAAATGTCACCCATCAACATTAACTGAGTTTACTGAGAAAATGAAACAGAAGTTTAGAGCAGAATTGTGGACCTTAGATAGTTGGCATTAAATATTGATATAGTTCCTCTTTCTTTTTTAATCTGCCCTGAAGAATTCTGAAAAATGGGTTTTGATGTAGATGAATCCAGATGGCAAAATACTACCAGTTACTGTAATCCAAATTATGTAAGTGAAGAAATATAAATGAACAACAGCTCAGGTTCTGCCTCACTAATTTCAATTAAGCAGTCAAGACTGGATATGATTGAGTACAGGTTTGATTCAAATAAATTTAAAATAGAAGCTAAATATAAATGCTTCTACAACATCATTGATAAAAATGCGTATTTTTACTTCTAATTTTGACAAGACAAAACTGTATTTCTTATAACTAATAGTAAAAACACTACAAACCACACTACTTTTTAAGCAAATATTGATTAGTACATTGTCTCAAGTCCCAGGCACCAGTCAGCAGGTCATTAGTAGCCACAAATGCTATAGAATAGTCTCCAATCACGCTTTACAAAATCTTTAATAGCAAATATATAAGAATGAAGAATTATTGCAATATGCATCAGAAATAAAAACATCACCAAGGAAAGATGCACAACCCAATGGCATACAGGAGTAGTTGACTGCTGTCATATTCCCTTTCACCCAGCTGTTGGCACCTTGTAGAAGTGGCTTGACGTACACAGGCTCAGTCCCACACGGGTAAGAAAGCAAAAAGCCAGTGTCCTTTTTCAAGTACCTTTATTTCCTAAAACCTACAGTCACTGTTTCTCTCAATCTGGAAACACTTTGATTTTACTTCTTCCTCTTTGATTCCCAGTGAAAATGGATGTATTGAATTTTTGCAAGGAAATTAATTTCCTCTCACATGAATTTAGTTACCTTTCTGATAAAGACCTCTTAGTAGAGATAATGAAGTTTGAGTTACTTAAACCTTAACCCTCTACAATATTTACAAAGAGTCAGAGATAAAACAGTGTAGCAGCATTGTAGCAGCGGAGCGTAACTTTGCTTTCCTAGGGCATTTTCTCAGAACGATGTGGTCATCATTCTGACCACATACCTATGAATGAGGTATAAAAAAAAAAAGCAATCTGAAATCAGCTGTGCCAGGGTGTGTGGGCGGCACAGTGCACAGTGCCAGGAAGCACAGAGGGAAGTACTGGGAATATCAGGAAGGGCTGAAGGTAGGTCCAGTCTGGTCTCTGCCTGGGCAGGGTGGGATGAGTCACCACTGCAACACAGGTTAAGTTTAAGAAGAAAAGCTGATGAAAATGTACCAGTGAAGAAAAGCTGATCAGAAGGAAGAGACAGATGAATGTGAGATCACAGATCTCCAAACACACCTGGCCAAGGAGATTTGTCTGAGCTGTCAGTTCTCCTGTACATAAACTTTATACCCAATTCTGCCCAAGATCCCTGAATCATTTACAGCAAAGCCTAGAGGCCAAGGGGCTTGGGAGATGTTTGGCAAAAGTTTAGTTATCCAATTAGGCAGACAGGATGTCTCTTTGTAGGCTTTTGAAAATGCCCAGCTCTCCTTGTCAAATACACAGAAGAACTGGAGGAGTTAAAAACAGAGACATCTGCTTCGAGGCATCAGAAGTGTTAATGGACTTGACTTACTCTCCATTCTTCTACAGATTCCTTCATGGAAATTACTGTTTGTCCTACAAGGCGGAAATACACACACCTCCACTTCTATGGTAATTGACCACAGACAATTATATTAAAAAATCAATTGTTTTACTCTCTAGTTACTCAACAGATTCAGTATTTAGCATTATAAGGCCACATTAGACAATGAAAACTGAAGCTAAGTGATCCAACTAGAAAATCAATTTGTAATTATATATGGGGTAGTAAAAGTAATATTTATTTGCATTACATATAAGAAATAAGAGGTTCCCAGAAACTGTCAGTTCTAAATTGTAATAGATCAAGAAAATTGCATAATAAATAATGAGTTGATGTGCTGAGCAAGAAAGCATAAACCTCATTTTTTATTACAGGACATGCTGTGTAACTACCACAGGTCTGGTTCCCTCAAACCCTGACACAAGTAACGTTACACATCTGTATTGACTTTTCTGTAGGGAGTGAAATTAAATTTTACTGTTATATTTTATTCTGATGAGTTACTTAGTTTTACAAAATCCCAAAAAAGTAAGATTACATGCATCTGTAGTTTCTGTTAGATTTAAAATCATTGCACTTTCAAACAGTTTGAAGCCTTGAAATTGCTAAATTTTTAACATTTTTTCTATTTACATGCTTTATTCACAATGTTAACAACTTATTAACAAATTATTTTTTTCCCCCCAAATTCCTCAATAAGCAAAAACTTCAAGGAATGGAAACAAAAGACAGATAACCCAAGACACTATATATTAAAGGTGACAACAACATTGACTTAAGTTATAATCATTTTGTGTTGCAAACAGTACAAATTATATATTTAATATATTTTATAGTATATATGTATCTGTATTTGAAATGTCTGGAAAAATCTTAGAATATCTTAATGGAGTTACTAAATTTAAGGCAAGAATGCAACTAGTTGGAATATGTGAACTGTATACTTAAATAGAATTCTTTTCTTAATCTTCAGTTTATTTTCATTTTAAAATAACCATATCAAAATTCCAAAGGTTGGCTACTGTCATGATTTCCAGATTTTATCTTCTATTGCCCAATTGAAAAAAAAACAACCTTACCATTACTTTTAAATAATTCTTCAACTATTTTCTTAAATTTAGCAAGAAGAAAGAAATTAAATTCTCCTAATAAATGAAAGTTAATAAGCCCTTTACTATCAGAGAGAAAGAATACCTCCCAGGAGTGTTGGTGAGATTGTCGCGGGAAAACGAGTCTCATGGTGTCATGGTCAACAAGTTTTCAGTTTATTGGAGTCGATTACAGTTTCTTTATACAAGCACTAATTAGTTCATACATATTGCAAAAGTGAAGCTCAGGATTGGTTACCTTTCTATTAACACATATATCTCCTTGCGATAAGCCTTGCGGTTATTGCTTCTTTATACTTGATTACTTTTCTGCATACCAAGCAATATTTTATTTTTAACGAGACATCTGTATACTCAAGGTTGTTAGGAGATGTCTGTCTCTCAAGGTTGTTAGAAGACATCTGTTTCTCAAGGTCATAGTTTTCATGCTACAAGTCACGTATTCTCACACTCTTATCAACTTAACTTTTTCGTGTCCCTTGCTGCGCAGCTATTCTTTAGCTAAACTCTCGACATTTCCCCTGTTTTTTCTATAAGCAAGTAAGGATGTGTTCTATTTTTGTTTTCTAATTGACATTAAAGTCTTTTGCAAGCACTGAAATACACACGGCAATACAAGCATTAAAATTACTATAACTAACAATCTTATTATTATAATCTGCAAAAGGTGTTTAAGCTAACTTGTAATTTCCCATGATTTAAATGATAATCTAAAAAATGTATCATCACTCTGTAACACCTGAAAATGTTGTTGCAAACGCTGAATTTTTTTATGAATAGATTCGGAACTATTTTTTAAATTTATATAGCACATGCCTTCAAATTTTTCGCACTCATGTCTTTGTGCTATTTGAATTCATTTGAGCTCGGGTCCATGTTTTGAACTCTGCCATGGGACCTAACGAGACTCCCTCTTTTTCTTTTGCAATTGAAAGACAATGGCAAAATGAACAGAAAAATCACAGGCATTACTAAATCTTACTAAAACTTAGCAGAAAATTGTATAACATTATTAAAAACACACTTATAAAAGAAAAAAACAAAACTCAAAGCCCACGATCTTCTGTGGGTGAAACACAAATCTTTGCACAATCCACTTTTGCTGTGTATCTTCTGATTCACTTGTGGAGAGATCAGTGTCCTCTTGCAATTGATAAGTTCCACATTCTTTACTGAAATCCATCTAGATTCTGCACCTGTTAAAACACAAACAAACCTAACACCCCCCACAGGGACTGGAGGGTCCTCTCTCAATTCTGTTCCCTAAAACTTGCATGAAGAAATGGAAATATCAACATCTTTGTTATAAACATGAAAAAACATTAAGAATAAAACTATGCATATAGTAAAGAAACTAACAACAAATAAAAATCAATTAGATAATACACAATTAATATTACATATAAAATCACAGTTACTAAGTGCTACACTATCAAATTGTCATCCCAGAGTCTGCAGCAGCTGACAAACCTTAAAACAACAGAGATTTGGATAAAACATGTCCGGATCATGTCTCTCCAAAACTCCCTTTGAGGCTCAGCTGCCTTATAGGATCAAATTGTTAAGCCAAAAGGACTTGAATACTTTTTGATGCAGAAAACACCTGGGTCAATCACACCATCCACGTAGAGCCAGAGCTTGGCCAGAGCTCAAACCCTAATTGGAGGATATGTATTAACACAGTATAAAATGAAAG